GAGGGAGGGGAGAATATGAGGAGCTGATGCCAGGGGCTTAAGTAAAGAGCAAATGTATTGAGAATGATGAGGGCAATGAATGTACAAATGTGCTTTACACAATTGATGTATGTATGGATTGTGATAAGAATTGTATCAGCCTCTAATAAAAAGATATTAAAAAAAAAGAAGTGGGTGTGTTAAACTGAGTTGACTAGAAAAATCCAGAGACACTCATAGATTTATAAGAAAGAGCTTTATATCAAGGAGTAATTAATGGTATATTAAGAAAACATCCCTGGTCAAGTCCATAAATCCAGTATTAGCCCATAAGTGCTATACTAGTCCATAAATCCCTCTTCAGATACATCATTGCAACACATGCAATGATGCAAAATGCAGAAAGGTCACAAGTTAGAGGGTACAAAGTTGTGGATCCAGTGGCAGTGGAAGCATCTTCAAGGCTCTCAGGTCTCAGCGTGGCTCCACATGGCCATCAACAGGAAAGTGAAAGCAGAGGGAGAGCCATTTACCTCAGTAGTCCTCCAATCAATATGTGACCTGATTGACAGACTAAACTAGCCCACTGTTCCTACGGGAGCCATGTTGGCACAAAAAAACCTAACAGTGAGGATGGCAAGAATTTCACCTCATTTACTTTGTACACATCAGAAAAAGCTAACCACTAGAAATGGACACTATGTTTGGTAAACTGGATCATCAGCAAAAATAAGAGAACCCTTCAATGAAATGGATTGATAGAGTAACCACAGCAGCAGATTGAAACATAGCAGCAATCATGATATGCCAAAAGAGCAGGAAACAGTTGGTTCTGTTGTACATAAATTCCTCAGAAGTCAGAGCCCAGCTCAATGGGAACTAACAACACAATCAAGAGACAGAAACTTGTGCCTATTGTTTTTTTTGTTGTTGTTTTCCTCTTTTAATCTTTTTTTTAATTAATCATTTTATTGGGGGGCCTCTTACAAATCTTACGACAATCCATCATTCAATTGCATTAAACACACTTGTACATAGGTTGCCATCAACATTTCCAGAATATTTTCTTTCTACTTGAGCCCTTGGTATCAGCTCCTCTTTTCCCCCCTCCATCCCTCACCCTCCCCTATTGTTTTCCATCCAGAATTTTAATAGATAACAAGTAAAACCCATACAATTATTTCAATACCTGCAGCAAATGCATTGAACAAAAAAAATTTTTTAATCATTTTGTTGGGAGTTCTTACAGCTCTTATCACAATCCATACATTCATCTGTTGTATCTACATTCATCCATTGTATCAAGCACATTTGTACATATGTTGCCATCATCATTTTCAAAACATTTTCCTTCTACTTGAGCCCTTGGTATCAGCTCTTCATTTTTTCCCCTGCCTCATGAACCTTTGATAATTTATAAATTATTATTTTTTCATGTCTTACACATGTCACTGTCGCCCTTCACCCACTTTTCTGTTGTCTATCCCCCTAGGAGGGGGTTATATGGCGATCATTGTGATCGGTTCTCCCTTTCTCCCCCTACCGTCCCCTTAGCCTCCTGGTATCACTACTTTCATTATTGGTCCTGAGGGCTTTATCTGTCCTGGATTCCCTGTGTTTCCACTTCTTATCTGTATCAGTGTACATGCTCTGGTCTAGCCGGGTTTGTAAGGTAGAATTGGGGGTGTGATAGTGGGCTGAGGGAGCATTAAAGAACTAGAGAAAAGTTGTATGTTTTGTCAGTGCTATACAAACCCTGACTGGCTTATCTCTTCCTTGTGACTCTTCTATGAGGGGATATCCGATTGTCTACCGATGGGCTTTGGATCTCCACTCTGCCCTCCCCCCTCATTCACATTGATGATGTTTTATTCTGGGTCTTTGATGCATGATACCTGATCCCATTGACACCTCATGATCACACAAGCTGGTGTGCTTCTTTGTGGGCTTTGTAGCTTCTTAGCTAGATGGCTGGCATTGAACAAATTTTAACACCCTCTCATAATAAAAATTCTCAGCGAAGTAGAACAATAAAAGACTTTCCCCAATATGATTAATAGCTTTTATGAAAAAACATGTAGTCAGTTATCATACTGATAAAAGAATGATTTCCCCTTAAGATAGAGAACAGCACAAAGGTATCTATTCATACCACTTCTATTCAGCATTCTATTGCAGGTCCTAGCTAGTGCAGTAATGCATGAGTGAATGAATGAATCAGTGATTTATGTTCAGGTATACAGAAAAGGAACAAGTACAGTAGTCTTTGTTGGCAGACGATATCATTATCTTCTGTGTTTAAAATTTCTAAAATGTGAGGATTTTTATGGTATGTATCAATTTTATTAGGTTATGAATCTCAGTGATTTGGCTGACATTGAATTGACTGCATTTCCATCATGTAATACTAATATAATTACATTGATGTGATATGTTGTGATTAGCCAATTATATGAGGACTTACCTTGGGCTATGGCCTGCATCCAATGTTTGTGGACATTCTGGAAAAGCTCACTAACTCAGTCTGGATCCTGCATCTAGCTCATCATCTAATCTTAAGTTCCTGGGATATACGGCAGCAGCCTGCTGACCCATTGGTTAGGGACTAGTCAGCCTCCATTACTGTATAAGCCATTTCTCTGAATTAAATATTTGTAATCGCTTCTCGGCCTTTTGGCTAAGATCAAATGAATTAAACATTTGTGTAAATGGTGCTGTAGGAGAAACATTGGACTCTAATCACAAAGTTGTTGGTTCAAACCCACCAGCTGCTCTGAGGAGAAACATGATGCTGTCTGCTCCCGTAGACTTACATCCTCAGCGACTCTATGTAGGGTCATGATGAGTTGGAATTGACTCAGTGGCAGCAGAATTACGTGTGTGTGTGTGTGTGTGTGTGTGTGTTTATAAGTTTACAGGATATAAGGTCAAAATGTAAAACTGCTTTATTTCTATATACTAGCAAATCAGTTGGGATTCTTCTATAACAGTGTTAAATATATATACCTCATATTCATATACTAACTACCAGTTCTTAAGTTTTTAATTATGAGAAGTAATTAATGAGATTTTTTTGTCATTCTTCCAGGGGAACCTATGACATTTTAGTAACAAAAGATAATCAAACTCGATCTGTTGGTCAGTATGACAACCGTGGAAGTTTTGGAGAACTAGCTCTGATGTACAATACCCCAAGAGCTGCTACCATCATTGCCACTTCAGAAGGCTCCCTTTGGGGACTGGTGAGTGAGGGAAATGTTTCGGTATTACATACAATACATTAAACACACAGTATTTGTTGACATCGGTAATTGTTTATTTCCATTTACCCTATAAGCAGAATTAAATTTTGTACCATAAAATTATCAATACTTATTTTGAAAATTTGAAGTCAGACTGTAATGGTAAGAAATAATTTAAAGTCATATAAGAGCACTTTACTTTGACATACTGATGTGGAATTAAAATGCCCCTGAGAAACAACAGGAAAGGGAGAGTCAACAATATGAGAATGAAATGGATTTTTCTGCCTCTAGGCTAACTGCTAACTGCCTCTAGGAAACCTTTGCCATGAGACCAGAAATGGATGGTGCTCACCTAAGATTACTGAATGCTTTGGTCAAAGATCCCATAAAAGGATCCAGATCAAAAGAGGAAAATGCAGATCAGAACTTTAAATTTTCATAGACTCCAGAATTTCTGGAGCCATAGGGGGCTAGATAAACCCCCAAAGCTATTGCCCTCAGATAATCTTTAAATCTTAAACTAAAGATATCCATGATGTCATTTTAAAACAACAATATAGTTAAGCTTTACTGTAAAAAAAAAAAAAGCCTGTCTTGAGTATTGTGCTCCTTTAGATACTATCTGTGTGGTATCAAATTGATGGCAAAACTCAGAAAATTAGATCGGAAACTTAGGAGATTTTGAGTTTGTGGTAATAGGAAAGGAAAACTTCTGAAGAAGATGAAATCATTATAGAACTTGAAAAACGTAATATTAAATTGTACTTGTGGGTGAAGGGAGACGTCGGACAGTGCAAGATATGACAAAATAATAATTTATAAATTATCAAGGGTTCATGAGGGAGGGAGGGG